GAATTACTTACTTAAACATGTGAGCTCTTCCTTCTCTTCTGAGATTTAATTGCTCTATCCTGGATTCCTAAGCCCTGTAGAAAGTATATCTCATTCCCATAGGGAACTTTGTACCAGTCCTCTAACTCACGGTGGGGCCTGAAAAACTTGGCATTGGTGACATGGCTCCTGGTTAGTCACTTCTCCCACATCCCCATCACTTTCCAGGTTCCATGTTTATCACCCTCTAGTCAGAAATTTATATTTCTTTCCAAATCTGGTCCTATTAGTGAAAATTCTCAGGACTTTATTGATTCACTTTTTGGGTTGGATAGAGTAAGAGGTGTACAGCAATCTTTCCTTACATGGTTAGCACTTTTATAATATATGGCATAAAGTTGTACTCATTTCTTTTTGGTTGCTGCTGGTGATTTTTGTTGTATTTATTTTGTTACTTTTATTTCTGTGGATCTGATATTTGGATAGGGAGATTCTGATTTCACTTGCCATCATTTAGTTTAATTTCTGGCACCGACTTTGTATCTTCTGCCTTGCTTTGGTCTGTAACCTGTATATTGCTTAATGGTTGGCACTCCATTGGTTGTGGACTCCATCTGAATGCTATCCTGTTCTTACTCCCAACCTGTGTTGCCTTTCCTATATATGACTTTCAGCCCAGCCTTTGCTGTATATGGCCAGTCTCCCAACCCCACTCTCCTGGCCTGTCTAAGGGCACCAGGTAGGGAGGATTTCCAGTGCTGCCCAGTTTGCCAAGGCTTAGCCATTTTGAGAGTCCTCAGACCACCCTGGTTCTGGGGAAATAAGAAATAAATTGCCAGATCCACTTTATACAGCTTATGCTACACACACCCCTACACACACACACACACACACACACCGGTATTTCTTTGATCTGCTAATGTTTTCTTCAAAAACTCATTGCCCTTTCAACACAAATTCCTATAATTATTTCTCAAGTTAAACCTTGCATTGCCGCCCTGGCCGGTTTGGCTCAGCGGTTGGAGCGTCGGCCCGCGGTCCAGAGAGACCCGGGTTCGGTTCCCACTAAGGGCACATACCTCGGTTGCAGTTTGTCCCCGGCCCTGGTTGGTTGTGCGGGTGGCAGCCACTCGATATGTCCCTTCACATCGATGTTTCTCTCTCTCTCTTCCTCTCTCTCCCTCCCGCTCTATCTGAACAAAAAATGGAAAAATGTCCTCGGGTGAGGATAAAAACAACAACAACAAAAAAAAAACCCTTGCATTGCCAAAGATTTGCACTGCTGACAGATATCTTTCTGAAACCAATAGATAATCATGCCATTTCCTGTTTACAAATGTTTAGAAGCCTTGCATCATCTTTAGCCTAAGAGTGTAAGTTCCTGAGGGCAGGGACAATGTCTCCTTCACTGTTGTGTGCCCAACATGGAGAACAATACTTAGTATGGCATGGAGTACGTATTCCAAAAATCTTTTTTGAATGAATTTTAACTAGTTCGCTGATAGATTGCAGAATCTCTTTTTTGTTGTCTGAAAATAACCAATTTAAGTAATGAACAACAAAAACCTGCAGTTTGGGTACTTTTAACATGCTATGTCATTGTGTTCAAATAAGGGGTAATGGCATAATGAATACAATCACAGTAGGATTTACTGCAAGAGGTCTAGAAACGAAAAAGGGTCTAGTCTACTGATCTATCTGTGCTCCCCATTTTTTAAGGATTTGTGATAACTTATACACAAAATATAATAATTTAGTATGCTTCACATTTGGCTCTAAACTTTCTGACTATCAAGTTGAGAAGAACAATTCATTGGAGAGAAGAAGAAAAATGTAGTTCTTAACATTAAAGTCTGAAACAAATTTCCCACTTGGGGCTTTATATTATGAACATTGATTATGTGGATATTATACTACATACCATTTCTATAACACATAAGGTAATAATTTTTAACAATTTCTTATGAAATCCACCTGAATTTCATAACAATAAACCCAACTCAGTGATGTCAGTTCTGTTTAGAGCTAAGATAATATGGTCCATCTTTGTGGCCTTCTGTTGTTTGTCTGGCTTGACTCCAAGGACAAACTTGGAGCTCCTGGCCTTCAGATTGTCTTCTTTATATAAGGGTCCTTTTTTGATTGGTCCAGTGGAGCAGGCATTTTGAGATCTGGCTGTCAAGCTAGGACCTGAACTGCTGTTTGCTGGGTGACTGATTGAGGTAGATTTCTATGCCATGGAAACTAAGTGAGAGTAGGTATGAATGATATCATTTGGGGGAAACTCAGTTGCCTAATCAGGCAGGTTCCCTGACTAGGGAATGCTCAGGGAGCTACAGGCAAAGCCAGAAATATCACTGCATCTTAGTCAGATTGGAAAACATTAGTCAGCTTTCATTCCCTAATTTATTAAGATTTAAATTTGCACCTGGCCGGTGTGGCTCAGTGGATTGAGTGTCGTCCCAAGCACTGAGAGGTCCCGGTTTGATTCCTGGTCAGGGCACATGCCTGGGTTGTGGGCTTAATTCCCAGTGGGGGATGTGCAGGAGGCAGCTGATCAGTGTTTCTCCCTCACATCGATGTTTCTATCTCTCTCTCCCTTCCTCTCTTTCTAAAAAATCAATAAAAACATGTAAAAAAAATATTCAAATTTGCTGTGGAAGGTGTATTAAAGCAGACATGCTTATATACTGCTGATACATACTTTTTGGAAAGCAATTTGGCAACATATTCAAGAGCTTTCAAAGAATTAAACCATTTGATATAGTAGTTCTACTTCTGGGAACTGTCCCAAAGAAATAATCCTCTAAAAAAAAAAGGTCTAAGCCTCAAAAAATGTAAATGTTATTTCTAATATTTCATTTATAGTATCAAGAAATTGGAGCAATTTTTTAGATGTCTCTCAGAAAGAGAATAGATAAACAAATATATTCCACTCAAAAGAATATGACTAGGGTTAAAATATTTTGCAGAATATTTTCTGGCCTGCATGCTCAGTGGTTAGAGCTTTGCCTCTATTATAAGAAACCCTGTACTCACTGGCAGTCACTCCCTTTCCTAACTTCCCAGACCCAGGTAATCTATTTTCAATCTCTATAGTTTGCCTATTCTGGACATTTCATATAAATTGAATCATGCAACATGTGATTTTTTGAGCTTCTTCGCTCAGCATAATGTTTTCAAGGTTCATCAGTAGAATAGTATGTGTCAGTACCTGCAATCTTGATATATCCGACGATACGTTAAATAACTGAGCTTACCTGGCCAGGGCAATGCAGATCCTCGTTAAGAAACTCATTCTAACAAGATTTAGCATCTCTTTTTCTTAATGAGATATAAAGTCATTCCTTTCATAGCCAAACCTTTAGAGGCAGTTATATTTTTCTATCTGACTTGTGCATGATCTTTTGGCAAATTGTAGTTTGTCCACTATGTTAACATTCAGAAGTCTGAATGAATGCATGTTAGAGGGTTTGGAAGTTGGTCTGGGATAGTCCAGTGAATGTATTAAAGAGAGGTTAGTTTTAAAGTGGAAGAAGGATCTGTGACTGTGGTGAAAGGTTCCTGGCAGGTGTGGAGTGGCCCATGTACAACTTGAGGAAGCTGATGAGTCCAGTTGCTGGCAGCAGTGAGGCTGGAGAGAACGGCGGGGGGGAGGGGTGTGCTGGATCATATACGATAATTCTGCTTGTAGGTTTTATTTTAGTAGCATTCTCTTGCCAATGTAAAGTTACAACGAGAAAATGATGTTTATAGATGTGGCTTATTGCTGGGTTCAAGATAACCTAAAGGGGGCAAGAATGTTATACAATGGTGATGGCTGGGCTCTAGATAGAGATTGTAGATGTAGAAATTGAAGAGGGAGGCCAAAGAAATGCAAACTTAGCAGACTTGATAATTATATAAAATAATTAAAGCTGATTCCAATGTTATAATTTGAGGACATTGGGAGGATAATTGTACTAGTGCTTTAATAAACAAGGTAAGAAAAAATGGTTTATATTTGTAGCAGCACTATTTACAATAGCTAAGATCTGGAAACAGCCCAAGTGTCCATCAGTAGACGAATGGATAAAAAAGCTGTGGTACATATACACAATGGAGTACTACGCAGCTGTAAGAAAGAAAGATCTCTTATCCTTTGAGACTACATGGAGGGACCTGGAAAGTATCATCCTAAGTGAAACAAGCCAAACAGAGAAAGACAAGTATCATATGATCTCACTTATTTGTGGAATGTAATGAACATAACAGTCTGAGGAATGGGGTAGTCCCAGAGACGTGGAAGTGGGGTACAAACTGACAATCCCCAGAAGAGGAGGTGGTGGGGGAGAGATAAACCACAGAACTTTTATGCATATATGCATGAATAATGGACATGGACAACAAAGCTGGGGACAGGGCAGTGAGGGGAGGGGAATCAGTGGGGGGAAAAGGAGAAACATCTGTAACAAAAATTCATTAATAAAAAAAATAAAATAAAAACAAAAAAATGGTTTATAAAGATAGTAAACTTTGATTTTGTTATGTTTATTGGCAAAATCTTCAAGTGAATTATAAAAGATACCAACTTATCCATTAGATAGTATATCAAGTCTGATATTCTGGAGCTTCCAGCATTCATTAAATACAATATGGTTGATTTCCCTTCCATAGGTGTGCCTATTCATTTTTGAAACCTGTATTATAAGTGAACTTTCAGTATCTAATTGTTAAGGTTAAGCAATGGTTTTATTTTCTTTATGTATAGTAAGTGCAAAAAATATTTTACTTGCTCAGGCTTAAGAAGGGTACCTAGATTCCATGATTTCCTATTGTGATTAACCATATTGTTTTCAGGGAGGAAAAGTTTTTAATATTGACTGCATTGAAAAATATAGTCTATATAGCAATAAAAATAAGTTTCAGTTGTTCAAGATGGTTTTGTGTCCAAACATTAAAATTGGAATGTTTTAGAAAATTTATTTCATGTTGAAACTTAGTACAGTACATTTATTTACCTATCTTAAAATTTATTTCAGGAATTGTTCCATCTTCTGTTGTTGTGACTTCTTTCCAAGTGATGTCAAGAGTTTTTCTAATATGGGCAGTAACACATAGTGTCAAAGAGGTAAGTGTTTATACAGACTGAAAAAAAAATATCAGCACTAACAAATGTTAGTCAACTTTTCTTTCTCACATGTGTGTTATAGCTAAAGATGGAATCCCATGTCACATTAATGTAGCCCAGATAAAATTCACATTCACTGTAGGAATTGGGTTATTAGTGGGAAACATACCCCAAATATACAGTTTTGTTAAAGAGAAAACTAATTAAATTATAAAGTTCCGCAATCTTCAATCCCATGGAGATTTGGATGGTGTGAACGTAGTCTGCAAATCAGTTGTATTCTTCCGGTAGTATCTTGTTTGTATCTGGCACAATAAAATCTAGACAACTGCATCCTTACAGTAGGACTGTTGTGGGAGTAGAGGACGTTAATTCATTACCAGAACAGTTTGATCTCGTTTCTTTTTTCAATAATTTTACAATTTTTTAATTAATATTATATTAGTTTCAGGTGAACAGCATAGTGGTTAGACATTATATAACTTACTAAGTGATCACCCCAGTAAATTAGTTCCCCATCTGACACCATACATAGTTATTACAGTATTATTGGCTGTATTTCATGTGCTGTACTTTACATCCCTGTGACTGTTCTGTAACTACCAGTTTGTACCTTTTCACCCATCCCCGCAACACCCCTCCTCTCTGGAAACCTTCAAAATGTTCTCTGGACAGAACAGTCTGATCTTTATAGGACCAGGAGAAACAAACTTGTTTCCACCCAGGCCACCAGGATTCATGGAATTCCCAAAGGTGCTGAGTCTAGTGGATCTGGGAAGGGAATGTTCTCTGCTCGGGCAGGGGTGGGAGATGCCCAGGCAGGCCCAGGGATATTCCTTGTAAGAACTGGGGGGGAGAAAGCCATCATTACCGTAGGTGGGTACCATCGGTAAGCGTTCATTTTCTGGTATTGGGGAAGGAGGTTGTTTTCCTGTATGTTTTTTGCTTTTTAAAAGTCATTTATTTCTTGCTAATGTCACCTTGAGGTAAAGTACCTATAGCTACTATGAGGATTCATTTTTTTTAGTTTTTCACTCCTAAAAACCTATCACCAGCATTATTGGATTCTTTGGAGCTCATTAAACGTACTTATCAATTATTCTCATGTTTTCTTTGCCCTCTACCAAAATTTATGTCAAAACATTTTTTTTTCAGGGATTTATTTTGACAGTTTCATTTGTATTTCAACTGAGTTTCTTTAAACTTTTTTTATTGGCATATGATATAGATAACAGAAAAATGCACATAGCTAATGAGTTTTTAACCAGAGTTGTTTGAGCAAATTATCGTTATTTTTGCTAAATTCTCATGGAATTGCAGATGCACAGGCTTTTGTTCTTAAGGTCTCTCATTCCTTGAATATGTCTGAACTTTCTATGCAGGGAAAATGTAAAACAATCACATTCTTTTTTTTTCCCCCTGGGAGATCACATTTCTTACAAAAAACTTTATAAAAAACAGGCAAATAAATCCAAATGTGGTATGTTGCTCTTTGTTCTCACTTTGGTTTATGGTGTAAGGAAAAGCTACTTTACTTGTACCATGTAACCTCTTCATTCATTATAGAGCTCTTTCATCATTTTAACCTATATTTCTTACTTCCTTACTTTTGTGCATGCACTATTTCCTTTTCATTTTAAAAACAATTCATAGTTTTAACCTCCCAATAGTCTCAAGTAACCTATTTCTTTCTAATAGTAAGTCATTTGCATATTAAATAGGTAATTATGTATTTTCAATAATTAAATGTTATGTATGTGAAGACAGAGTACTGTCAACTATGGAATGATTGCTCACTTTGCCAGTACAGTCAGATACTAATTGTGCAGGTGCTAATGTTCCAGCTGATGGATTATTCAAGGCCTCTGCTTCCCCTCCTGTCTTCTGCTTCAGTGACCACAATTTCTGGCCCTTCTGGCAAACAGGATAGCAAGTAAATAAATGCTTACAATTCAAGTCAAGCAATTCTTTATTCTTATTACTGTTAGCAGCATTTGCCAGGATTTTCCAGGCAGATTGTTAAGACTGCTTGCTTAAAAAGCTATCGACGTCTCAGGATTACAGGTACATGGACCTGGTCATTGTCCTCAATAACCACGCTGCCTGACAGACGGGTCATTTAGTAGATGGCATCATATTTGAGCTTTGCAGTAATTTAAGTTATATATGTGTTACAGTTGCATATTCAAAATTATTTCTCTGTGACTAAACTTAACCAATTTCTACTCATTTTAACATATCATTTTCTTAAGAATGTGGTACAGTAAATGTTATTGTCTTTCTGCCATCTCTGGTGACACTTTTACATATACCCTATTGATCCATTGCCTTCACTCTTATGGAAGTAGGATTAAAAGTTTCTGTTGCTCCAGGATTATTACAGTTCTCTCCTCATTTTCCTTTTCTTTGAACAGAACTCATTCATCACTGTGTTCACAGCACTTCACCCCAAGTCATTGATAGCTGACTTGAAAAGCCTGTTTCTGTGGCATTTCAGAGGCCATCCTGTTTATCACCATTCCTCAGCCCCTTCTCTTAAACACATGGAAATTTCCTGCCTTAGAGTTTCATATCAGCTGTGATTCAGCTTGTTCTCTACAACATGAAACATGACTTTCCTACTAAAAGATGGGAAACATCTTTAAAATATATTTTAATTCTCCTTATATTCAGCTATGTTTACTTCAATGGTGGGAACCTCATAACTAAAGTGTAAGGAAATTGACCTCAGAAATAGCTGCTTAATAAAATATATCTCCCTTTCTCATGGTAATGTTCAAATTCTCTTCACACTACTATACTTTCATTCTCAGTTGTTGGTTTTTGTGTACAGTCCCCTCTATAGTGGACAAGAGCTCTTCATGTTCACAGAAGTACATGTGGATTTGGACTCTTACTTCACTCCCTCTGACCCGCTCTTACTTTCCATTCTGATTCCCTTGTTTTTCTGTAATTGTATATGATGTGCTAAGGTATAGCCTATATACCTTTGAGAACTGGGTAACACTATTTTTTTAATGCTTTGGGATTAAAAATTTTGTTAAATATTTTTATTGATTTTTTTTAATATAACTTTTTAAAAAGATTTTTAGAATTGATATTTAGAGAGAGGAAGGGGGAGGGAGAGAGAGAGAAACATCAATGTGAAAGCTTACATCTATCAGGTGCCTCCTACATGCCCCCTACTGGGGATTGAGCCGGCAACCCCGGCATGTGCCCTGACCAGGAATCGAATGGGCAACCTTTTGGTGCACAAGTCAATGCTCAACCATCCAATTGAGCCACACCAGCCAGGACTGGGTATTACTTCTTTCATATTTGAGGTTATTTCCTTTTAATAAGCCCTCCTCACTTGTCATTTTAATTCACTACCCTATGGAATGCTAGTCCTATTAATGTCACCATATATACTGTAGAACTAAAAGGTGATCAGATGGCCTGTGGCCGGTGTGGTTCAGAGGTTGAGCTTCGACCCACACACCAAGAGGTCGCTGGTTGAATTCCTGGTCACGGCATATGCCCTGGTTGTGGGCCCAATCCCCAGTGGAGGGCATGCAGGAGATGGCCAGTCGATGTTCTCTCTCATTGATGTTTCTATCTCTCTCTCCCTCTCACTTCCTCTCTCTCTAAAATCAATAAAGAAAAATAATTTTTTAAAATAAAATAAATAAAAGGTGATCAGATGATTTTCTTTTATTACATTAGGATTCAACCATCAGCTGGTGTGACACCTTGATTAGCAAGATATGAAAGGGAAAAAACATGGTCTCTATGTTCAAAAGCTTTTTCTTGACCTAACCTAGCATAACCTCCCCACTTTTTTCCTTTTAAAGAAAAAATATGTATATTTTCTTAATATATATGTATGTACGTATGCAAAGTAAAACTCCTGACAAAAGCAACAAGCTCATGGTGGGAGGTGGGGCCTGGAAGATACAAGAGGGAATCAGCAATAGCTGACTTCTTTCCTTTCCAATTTTCCCACCTGTCTCCCAGACCGGAACTGGCTCCTCCTCATCCCTTCGCTGAGCTGGCCACCACTGCTGCTGCATCGGGCCTTCCTGGGCGTGTGTTTCTCTCTCCCTCTGTTTGAGTCTGTTCTTTCTCTTCACATTGAAGCAAAACAACATTTGCATTGTTCAGAGTGAACTGCAGTGGAAATGCCACCTTTACCACTCCCTCTTCAAAACAGACAAGTTCACAGGATATATGTTCTTCCTTGTCCAAAACTAGCTAAGCCAAGTCCCAGGTTCCTGGACACACAAGTAGGCCACTGGCCCAAGCCCTCTTTGAAGAAGCTACCCCACATTCTCTCTTGAGTTCTTAGTGTAAGATCAGAAGTCCTCTTTCACCAACAGGGGCAATAGTTGAGAAAGAAGTTGCTAGACTCACTGTGGCTTTAGCCCAGGTTCATCTAGACTTTACTAGGGCAATTTACATAAAATAGAACTTTACTCTGGCTGCTGAACCTTCACTCCTTTCTTTCTGTCCCTTTGCCACTATCGGAGAAGGGGGTGTCTTCCCACATTCCTCTGAATGTTCTTTGAGTGCTGCTGGGCTTTGTGACACTTAATCTGCCATTCCTGCGAAGTTCTCAGCAAGATGTTGGTAAAAAGCTTGTAATTGGTGTTTAAGAAAGTTAGTAACCTAATTTTTTTATCATTATACTGGTTTTTGTTTGTCTGATGCATTACAGAGGGCTCTATTAAAACATTATGATTATTCACCTTTGAGGTGTGTTGTAGCCTCCTCCATTTAGAGTTTGGAAGCTAGAGAACCAAAGTGACTGTCACACGCCCAATAAATGGCAGAGTTGACTTCCCACTGCATCAGTTTCCTTCTCACCCTTATCAGTGTGCTGTAAGCACATCCTCATATTCCCGTGCTCGACATGCATTGTCCTGTGTGGAGCTGAGTACCCTGTCTCACATTCAGCAGCACGTTCCCTCTTCAGCAGTCTCATGCCACAGGCATATTGAGAGTTGTTCTCTAGTCAAATC